AAAATGAAGAACACACACACAGAGACATGATCTTTACATTTATTCTTAACAAACCTAACTACCTTCAAAGGGAAGAAAGGTTCTATGACAGAATTTACAACACTTCCATTTCTCTATGGAAACGTAAGTACAAAACATGAAGTAGGCAGTGGAGGGAAGCCTGAACAAAAGGAAGTAGCTTGCTATCATTTTTTTCTTTTTTAATTTTGCTGAAAAGTGCATGTGCTTGCTAGAAAGAAACAGAGAGAGAGAGAAAGTAAGAAAGCAAGCCCTCCATACAGAATGGCCATGCCAAATCCCCTTTCCTCTGTTTCTCCTTCCTTTTGGGATTTTGAGAACACATACACATATGCCTGGCATGTTCCTAAAACCACCATATCTGGGACTCAAACTGCATAGTCAGCCATATGCAATCCAGTCCCCTTAACCATCAAGTCAGCAGGCTGGCCCTAACTTACTTCATTTGGATGTTCACTCTGACTTAGTATTGACATGTTTTCTGTCTTAAAATGACAACATATATTTGTGGGATAGAAATATCTATTGTGAAAAGATATTTTGTAAAGACTGCATTTCTATGACTAACAAAACTCTGCTCTTAGTTGACACCTTTACTATTAAATTCTAGCTTATGTAGAATAGTAAGACATGGTATTTCCTTTGTTTCTTCCTTTAGGAGTAGAAGAAAACAGTTTGGACAGTTTTGTTTTTGATACTCTGATTCCTAAACCAATTACCCAAAGGTACTTTAACTTGTTGATGGAGCATCATAGAATTATACTCTCGGGACCAAGTGGTACAGGAAAGACCTATTTAGCAAACAAACTTGCTGAATACGTAATAACCAAATCAGGGAGGAAAAAAACAGAAGATGCAATTGCCACATTTAATGTGGACCACAAGTCCAGTAAGGTAAGTCACAGGAACCATTAGAGAATAGCTGTTATTTATCAATAAATATCTTAAGCAATCAAGTGTTAAGATTGTGTGAGACTTTCATATTTATAGGGGAAAATAGTCCATCTCTTTGATTAAAACTATAATCTCATAAATGACTAAATTCTGTTTTATAAATTTGAGTAAGATTTCTGTTTGCAATGACACTTAGTTATCAAGTATTGGGAATATACAACATAAAATGAGACAGTCCCTGTTGTCTGCTTTCTCTTAAACATCTATTTCGGAAGTAGCAAAGTAAGGAGAGGTCTCTGTACACAGTGCTTTGGAAGCAAGAGGGAAGAATAACTCTTCCTGGAGGAATAGAGGTTCATAAAAAAACAGTTCTTGGTCTGGGTCTTAAAAGATAAGTAGGAATTAACTAGGGTGTTACAGCAATGAGGATTTGGGAATAATTAGAATGCTCTAGGCAGAAAATTCTGGGAACAGCAATATGCTCATGTCACATTTCTATAGGATTTGAATTTAGGAACCTTGGAAACTGAAAAATGTTCTCTTTTGCCATCAATTAATAGCTAACATGCCTGAACACTCTCAGATATTAAATAAGCATGAGGGGCTATAGTACATAGCCAGTATTTTCATATACTATGAATAAAATAAAAAAACTGTCAAAGGAGATTGTTGATGGCTACTATATTCTTTTTTTTTTTTTTTTGAGAGGTTTTTGCTATAGGGTGCGTGCTCGCCAGAAAGACAGAGAGATAGAAAGTGAGAAATCACCCTCCAGGGGCGGGTGACCATGCCTCAATCCCTTCAATTCCTTCTCTTCCATTCTCCTCTCAGGATCTTGCGCACTCGTGCACACACGCCCAGTGTGAGTTTCAGCAACTGGGTCCGGGACTTGAACCATGGTTGACTACATGGGAGTCCAGCGCCATAGCCATTACGCTAACTGCTGGTCTCCTCATGGTTACCATATTCTTAACACTAACCTAGTTTTTCCTGTAATTATTTCTTAAAGTGTGAACCAATGCAACCTGATTTTCTTTTGGGAAACTGTACCTGGTATAAACCATACCTTAAGGGAATCCTGATGATACTGGTCAGTTCATGTTTTTAAAGACATCCTGATGAGATGATCTAAACCTCTCAGAAACCTCAAGTCTGCAAATTTAAAAATAAACATAACTCCCAAAAGTAACCCAAATCCAGATATATAGTCTAGCAAACAAAATTTCATCATGGGGTAGTTCAGTAATTAAGTTAACGCTGAAAAACTGTAAGATTTAGGTTCAATTACTGAATTTCTTTGTGTCTTAACTTGCTCATCTTTAACAGAGAATATATTTAAAAAAAAACATAGAATATATTAAGTTTATGGTAAGGTCTAAGTGAGTGTGTGTGTTGGGGGGTAGAACAGTGTGAGTAGCAAGCACTGTATAAGGGTTGCCACAACTGTTAATTATAGCCCTTGGCTCCCAAAGAAGGTTTCTTACACACACACTCACGTATACTTCTTTCTTCAAAATGGTCTTATGTGTATTCTTCAAGGACAACAAGGATCTATGTAAACATGGTGGGATCACTTCAAGTTAAATAAATGTGGAATATACATGAATTCTGAATATTTCTTTAGAACTCAGAGCTATTCAAATTGTAGTTGAATCACCCATTGTCATTTCAACTAAAGAGAAACAGCATCTGAGATTGAATGCTTGACTCTCCCTCTAAGCCAAAGTAGAAAACACTACTGTTTGTTTCCTTCAGCCAGCAAGCTTAGTCCTTTCCAGTGTTTGAATTATGTATTTCCAATGCTCTTATCTTCTGCTTTTTCAGAAGAAAATCATTTGTGCCATTATTAAGCCAGTTCCATTTTTGTTTTTACAAAATAAGAAAAAGAAAGCATTGCCAAAAGTGTTTGAACAGAACTAGGAAACAATAGAAAGAATCTCATGGACAAATCATGAATTGATAGCATTCATCACCAAGAAAGCAGAAAATACCACCCAAAAAATGTCTATTATTTGTTTTATGGTTGTACGATATGAATGAACTGTCTGTAATGCTGGATACAATCATTGCCAGAGAATTTGGTCAATTCTTGCCAAAGAAAAAATTCACACTGGTTTATTTGGGAGATAAGTATAGTGAAGATGATATAAAAGAAGAGATGATAAGTTGAAATTGTGTTAGGGGTAGCTGCTAACAGTGTATTTTACTAAGGTAAAAAAAAAGGCTAATGAAGCATGAAATACTATATCATTTTCCTGAAGAAAACAAAAAAGAAAGAACTATGAAATTGCTGATGTGTTTTATACCATGCCATAGATAGTGCTGAAGAGAAAGAGCCAAAAAGCAGTTACTTATTCAAAAGAGAAAGATCAAACAATAAGCCATCAAATGAAAACATCTTCATGTTTTTGGTACCTCTGCATTTTACATTCTGTTCCTCTTCCCATACTTCAAGCCCTCCCTCAAGCTGCCAGCTGGAATATTTTGATTGAGAGCAATATACATTAAAATAAAAAGTCATACTTTGTGACATTTGATATAGCCAGCCCAGAAGGCAAGAGATGGATTTAGTAAAGAATATGTGGCCAGCTGAAGCCACTTGGAATGTTAGGTGGAAAAAGATCAGAAAACCGGGCTTGGCAGATTCATTTTTAGTGTGTCTGGAGTCAAAATCAAAGAAAGCAATGATCAACAGTTTTTATATAACAGTGGTGTTTTGTCTCTGTTTTCAAAGTATGGGATTCTTCTCATTTTCAGTGTCCATCTGGTAGATAGGCCTGCTTTTGTCTATCCAACTAGCTGTGGATATGGAACTTCTTATGCTAATGTGTAAATACCTCAATCAATCTTATCTCAACTAAGCTAGATTGGGGCTCATGGGGGTCTGTGAAAAAAAATCCTAAGATAGATAAAAAGATTCCTCATGTATATCTCCAACTGTCTATAGTTTCAGTACAATTTTCAAAAAATCTGTAAGTCTTCTCAAGACAGCGAAGAACCACATTATAATTTAATAGCACCACTTGTCCAAAAATGACCCTATGATCTCCTAATTACCAAATTCACTGCTTTGTTCTATTTTTCTGTTTCTCTCTCAACTTTCTCTCTCTGTGTCTAGTATGTTGCTATAGTTGACCTCTCCTTTCTACAATTTCTTCTAACTTTTACAATTGTCATTCTCTCCATATTGCCTTCTTATTTCCAGTAAGTTCTTTCTCAGTCTCTTTGACAGCTCTTCCTACCAGTAAATGAAAATGTTCCTCAGCATTCTGTTCCCTCTCACTTCCGCTTTCATTTGGATGACTTCCATTACATCAACTTGTGTTGACTGGTGGGGTTGATTCCAGTTGAACATTATTAGTCATGTCTGCTTTCCCAAATGTGGTGCTTTCTATTAGTTTACAAATATGTTTCTGGTCAAGTATTTGATATACATATCTAGAAATGACCATTTCAGCTCTGAAAAAATAAAAATCTTAACTCCATTCTTTTTCATATATCTCCACTGCAACTAATCTCCTACCCAAATTCATACCCTCTCTCATTTGAACCATTGCAACTATTTTCTAAGTGCTTGATTCACAATATCCCTTTAATTTCCTTTTTTCCTTTTATTGCTTTTGTCATTTGTATTGCATTAAAATTATTCACTGTTTTTCCATTGCTTTCTGCACTAGATCAAAACTATCTCATGTCCTTGTTCAATCCACTTAGTATCTCTAGACTTCAACAATTTCAGAATCCTCTTGACTGGTTTCTCTTCTCCCTTTCAAATATTTACCACATTGTTGAAACAAAATTCAGACTGTTTTACTCTGATCCCTAGGATATTCAAAGTTTCTTCTTCATTGCTGCAGGAAATGTCCAGTGACCTTACCAATTATTTAAGGCTGTAAACTTTCTTTTCTAATTTATTTACCATTGTTGACTTTCAGAAAATGTATACCACCAGGTATGTCCTACGTAAACATCAGTTTTTAAATGTGTCTGCCTTTGATTAGTATTTGCCATCTCTCTGGAAAGTTTGTTTTCATTTTTAATCACCAAAATATTGTCTAATCTTAAAAATAGAAGATTTACAGCAAAAAATATTTCTACCAGAAAGTCTTTTCTGGAAGCTGCAAGTAATCTTTACAGGCTGTAAACAAAATCTTTTTTCTATACTTTTTTGGAGTAAAATATTATTTTTGACTATGAATTATAATTATATGTGTACCTGCCTATTCTTCTATTCTACTATAAGCCTCTTGAATACATTTTTTATTTCTAACTAATAATTATTTCTGTTTATTTGCATAAATAAATTACTTTCTCCTTCTGAAAATAAAAAAATCAAACAAACATCTATGGTTCACACTTGCATACATGATAAAATCCATCTTTTTCTCCATAGAGTCAGTCTTTCTGTTTTCCCTCTCTTGTAAATACCATTCCCAAGTACCCTATTCTGAGTCTACAGGGCACATTATTTCCCAGGACACATCAAACACTCACACTTCCTAATTATTCTTTTTTATTCTTTAGGTTTGAATAGTTTTTACCCAGTGAACCCCATTGTTCTCTGAACTTTAAGACTGGATTAGATGCCTCTCTTAAGTCTCACTGTAGTGTTTTGTACATTTCACTTACCATATTGTATTGTAATTCACTTGCAGAGTTTCTTCTCTGCTTATCACCCCCAAGTTCCTAAAGTAGTGAAATATATTTTATCTCTGAATCTTTAGTGCCAAAGTACCTGGCGCATAGTAGGTGCTTGATGAAGACATGTTGAAAGAATGAATAGCTGAGTAACTGTCAGTTGAAATTCTACTTATTATAAGATTCATCTCAAATGTTACCTCTCTGTGAAGCCCCTCAGCATCACCAATTGGATCTCTCTTTGTCCTGTAGGCCACATCCATCATATAATGTTTCTCATGGAATATTTCACTTAACATTTTGTAAATTTACTTGTGTGTGTGTGCCTAGTACCCTCCCCAAACTCCAGTTACCTCTTCCATGAAACTGTAATACACACCAACTCAGTCAAATCTCTTCTCTTGACCTCGCATACTAGTAATACTTTTTTGATATTATGTTGAAATGGTTTACCATATTTAAATTGGTCCCTAACATGACATCTATTTAAGCCACCTGTGGAAGACAGTCTCATTACCCCTTTTAGCCCCTATGTCCAGAGAAATATTTTGTGCAGCTTAAAATAAATGCTAAATGTACTTGAATTCCATAATATTAGTGTTCCCTATTTTTATATCCCCCAGAGTTTGGTCTTAGGACTTAAGCATAGTAGATAGTAAATATCTTTGGGGGTTTTTTTGAGAGATTTTTGCTATAGGGCGCGTGCGCTTGCCAGACTGACAGAGAGAGACAGAGAGATAGAAAGCGAGAAATCACCCCCCAGAGGGGATGGCCACGCCACATTCCCTTCTCCTCCATTCTCCTCTCGGGATCTTGGGCATGCACGCACACGCGCCTGGCATGAGTTTTAAGCCACCGGGTCCGGGACTCAAACCACGGTCGACTACATGGGAGTCCAGCGACATAGCCATTACGCTAACTGCTGGTCCCAATAGTAAATATCTTATAAGTAAACAAATGACTTCATATAGCTAGATTAGTGTTACAAATTTTATGTTCTCTTTAAAAGTAAATTAAATTTCTAAGATTTTAAACATTCGTATTCTTTTATTTTAAGCAACATTTATTCTATGTGACTGGCTCAATGTAAAACAAATAGTACCTTATTTCTTTAATAAATTTTACATGGAGCTTAAATAAATATTACTAAATGCCTCAAAACCCTGACCATTGTTTTATCCTAATCTACTTTTAATTATAAAAGTGATATGACAGACAGAAAGAGGTTGCATCTAGAGCGAGTGGTTTACATATTTACCTGACTGCCAGAAATTGGGATCATGGAATTGTTTTTTAACCCTGAGCAAGACTTACAAATTGAAAATGTCATTGTAAATATGCAAATATTATGGAAATGCTGTTACTGATTAGGATAATTCTAAGAAACCTAATTATGTTCCTGGCCTACCCATCTGTGAGAGCAGTCAATCAGGGAACTGGTTATCATATTTAGATTAAAAGCTATTAGACAGGAATAATATCTGTAAGAAAACCAAGAAACTCAAGAAATGCTTAATGCTATTGCTAAAGGACCCAGGGAAATGCAACACATTTCATCTGTATTCAATATCACAGCAGTTGCATGCAGATTGTAAATAAATAAATAATTCACCATGCATTTTTCAAAATCCTATGGCCACAATTACCGATGTACCTCATCTAAATGAAATTAATATTAAAAGTATTAATGGAGACTGTGAGGTGCAATTTTGGATTTACCCTGTCCTTGAAATTTTAAACTTTGCAAAAACTCACTTTTATCATTGAAAGATCAAAAATAAGAACGAAGTCTCAATATTGATGTCTTATCATAAGATTTTATTTCCAGAACACATTTTAACTTTTCTTCTGAGGAAAATGTGACTGAGAAACATGTCTTCCTGTTTACAGTTTTATATTTGCTACAGGTGTTCAGAACTGGCTCTTCTTGCTTTCCTTCTTCTCTCTTTTCTTTAAAAAACTAACTATTCTCTCTGCATTACATATATGGGTTTTGCTTTGTAGAATAACATTTATACCAGTAAGGCGACCTATAACTTTGATTAAAACAAACAAACAAACAAACAAAAAAAACTGAGGTGGGGGGGAAGCAAAGCATCTGTTATTCCTCAAATATTAATTTTTGCCATCAGTATAAATTTATCATTGATGTATTTGTTTTCTTTATTTTGTTTAAGGAATTACAACAGTATCTAGCTAACCTGGCTGAACAGTGCAGTGCTGATAATAATGGCATAGAGCTCCCAGTTGTAATAATTCTTGATAATCTACATCATGTGGGCTCTTTGAGTGATATCTTCAATGGTTTCCTCAACTGTAAATACAACAAATGGTATGTTTCTCAAATGTTTTGAATAATTAATTATGAAAAATTAGTCATCAAAATCACTTTCCTGTG